AGAGAGAGAGAGAGAGAGAGAGAGAGAGAGAGAGAGAGAGAGAGAGAACAGATCTCATCAGCAAAACACACGGGCACATCTTGATGTAGGGATCAGCTGAATGAACTGTCATAGGACACCAGGTAGGGTCAGGGTGAAGATACTACTTTCTTTTTTTTTGGGGGGGGGGAATTTTAATATTTATTTTTTTTTTTAGTTTTCGGCGGACACAACATCTTTGTTTGTATGTGGTGCTGAGGATCGAACCCGGGCCGCACGCATGCCAGGCAAGCGTGCTACCGCTTGAGCCACATCCCCAGCCAGGTGCTACTTTCTGAGTGGAGGGGGCTCTTCAGACACTTTCTTCCCTGAGTGAAAGTGGACTCTGAGTCAGGTGGGTGCAATTAGAGAAAATAAAGAATCAAGGGGCAGAGAGAAAAAGTCATGTTTGGCCAGTGGAATTTCATGCAGCATCAGTGGACTTTCTATTACTTGCAGATAGAAAGCTTAGGGGACCTGCCTGTGCACACAGTGTCCCCTCAAATTGAATAGAGTCTCATTCTTAATAATCCCTTATGTCCCACCATCCTATATATAGTACACCTATGAGAACTTAAATTGAGCCTAGGGGTAGAGCCTAGTGGGAGAGAGGTCTTTAGGTCACTGGGGAAATGTTCTCAAAGGGGACTGTAGGACCATAGACCCCCCTCCTCACTCTCTTTTGCTTCTTGGCAATGAGGTGAGCAGTTTTTCTCTGCCACACATTCTCACCATTATGTGGTGTGTTGTCACAGGCCCAAAAGCAATGGGGTCAACTGGACATGGACTGGAACCTCCAAAACTGTGACCACAAATAAACCTTTTCTCTTTACAAATTATCTCAGGCATTTTGTTATGATAGTGAAAAGCTGACTAACACAATGGCTATGTGAAGAGATATGTAAACTAGTTTGACCTCAATAATCATTTTACTATGTCTATATATTAAGACATCATGATGTCTTAATATACACAATAAAATAAAGGCAGTGTTTAGCATGATGCTAGGAGAAGGAAAAGAAGCAATCAAGAACTGGTTATGTCTGATACCAGAGATGCCAAAAACATTTGTTGGAGAAAAGATAGCCTTTTAACAAATAGTGCCTCGAGAAATGTAAATCCATATGTGGAAGAAAGAAACTTGACCCCTATCTCTCACCCTGCAAAAAAGTCAACTCCAAGTGGATCAAAGACTTAGAAATTAGACTAGAAACTCTCCAGCTGTTAGAAGCAAACACTTAAACATATTGGCACAGGAATTGACTTCTTTAACAAGATTCCTAAGGTGCAAGAAATAAAACCTGAAATCAATAAGTAGAATGACATCAAATTAACATGCTTCTACACAGCAAAGAAAACAAGTTCATGAAGAGAGAACCTAGGAAATAGGAGATCTTTGCCACATTCCCCTAAGATAGGGCACTGATATCAAGAATATATAAAGAACTCACAAAACTTAACACCAAAAAAACAGAGAGCAAATAACCCAATTAGTAAATGGGGAAAAGTACTAAAGAGATACTTCTCAAAAGAAGAAATACAAATGGCCAACAAAATATGAAGAAATGTTTAGCATCTCTAGCAATCAGGAAAATGCAAATGAAAAAAGTCAAAGGTTGAATGCTTTTATCCAAATAGTTTTGATCTGTGATTGGCTGAATCCATGGATGCAGAACCTGTGGATACAAAGGGCTGATTGTACACAGGAAATACTACTCTGAGACCAAACTGTGACATTATCTACATTTGTCTCCAGCCATCTTCCTTTCTGCTGTGTTGTTCCTCATTTCAGTCCACCCTGCTCTTTGCTCTCAATCCCAGAGATTGACTGTTCTTTCCTGATCTCCACTTGGAAGAAAAGGAGACATGATAAAAGGAAATGTGATAAGACTCTAGCATTGTGTTGTCCAAAGCAGTAGCTTCTAGCTACTAAAATGAAATAGAATTGAAAAATTCGGTTCCTTAATTTCACTAGCTACATTTCAAGTGTTCAGCATCCACATGTGGACTGTGGCTAGTGTGTTGGATAAAGTAGATCTAGAACCTTTCTATCATTGCAAAATAGAGGACTTCAGTGAGCATCCACGTGTACTGTCCTCCATGAGGACTAGATATGAATGAAGAAATTAATTTAATTTAATATGGTAGAATCTTGACACTAATGAGAGATGGCCTGGAAATTTCCAGAATTCCCACCACTGCAAATAGCTTTACAAACTCATATTTCAAAAAAGTATTAGAAAATGGTACTAATTTATTTTCACAAGATTTTGTGGGAGGATCAAATAAATGTTACATCTAATTGTACTAAAGAGTTGGTCAGATACCAAGGAAAGTCAATTCCAAGAATTTGTGCTGATGTGTTTTATTTGAAAGAACTCTATTTAAGAACCTGGAATTTTGCTTATAACATTTGCTTGTAACTATTTTTATTAAAATTCTGGATATAAAATGTTATATCCAGAATTTTAATAAAAATAGTTTCAAGCAAATGCCTATATTGACACCAAGTGTGTTAGACCTTCTGCAGAAATCTTTATATGAGGAAAGTACTAACCATTTTTCCTCCAAAAGGGCTCCTTATAATAAACGATGCACTTGATGACTGAACCCAAAGGCACACGAGTGATCAGCTGGTTTCTCATCATTGGCAGAGGTGGGTTGAAGTGAATCTTCATGCCCAGAATGGGTGGAATAGCGCTGATCACATATTTTGCCTGAAAGAAAAGCAACATGTTTAAACATCATTGGTATGTTGTTTCAGTTTTCCCCTAATGATCTTCTCTCATTTCACCCTTGTCCCCATTTAGTCTCGACAGCAAAACTGAAAAGATCCTGTTAAAACCTAAAGAAACCCTAATGTTCAAAACTTCTAATGATTTCCCATTACACTTGGAATCAAAGTCAAGTTCCTCACAGTCACATCCAAGGTCATGCATGAAACAGACTCCTGGTACATTTCTGATTCCACCTCATGTTGATCTTCCAACTTCACTCCTCTTACTTCTGTCATTTTGACTACCTTGCTGTTCCTTGATCATGCCAGATTTTTTCTCACCTTGGCACTTGCCATTCCATCTACTTGGGACAATCTTCTCCCCAACAGACACGTGGCTTAATCCAGAATTTTCTTCAGTTCTGTGCTCAAACATTACCTTCTCAAAGGGTTTATGATAGCTGAGATATTCTTGACTTTATGTAAGCTTTGGTTATCTATGAGACTCTGGTCTCCCCACCTCTACCTGTTTAAGGGTCTCAGTTACCTCATATGTTTCGTGGTTTAGGGTCTCCACGAGGACATTTTCTCCTGTTTGGTCAATGTGGATCACAGGTCTCTCTAGCTTTACTCGGTCCCCAAGGAGCTCCATTATTCGCTCACTCACTTGACCAGATCCTCCCACAAATTTCCTCTCCTGGAAAGAAAAAAGGCAGGTGGGAAATACAAGAATGGCTATAAATTTCTAAGTGGCTTATTTTCCTAGCTTCTCTTCAATATGAGATGTAGAATAACTGTTGTGAATCATATCTTTAACCACTGTTTTCTAACTGGGGACTGCTGACTTTTGATAAAATCATAGGTTTTCTAAATCAAGTTCAAAGCAACTTGTAGATCTCCAGGATCCAACCTCAGCAGGACATCCTTAGAATGATCTCCAGGTCCTATCTGTCTTGCCACCACCCCTGATCTATGTCCTATTTGTATTTGGGGTGGATTTGGGGGGTTGAACTCAGGAGTGTTGTACTTCTAAGCTATAACTCCAGTCTTTTTATTTTCCTTGCAATACTGGGATGGAACCCAGGCCCTTGCACACACAAGCACTGTACCACTGAGCTACATTCCAGCCCTTTTTATTTTTTATTTTGATATAGGTTCTCACTAAGTTGCCCAAGCTGGCCTAGAGCTTACAATTCTCCTGCTTCCGCCTCCTGTGTAGTTGGGAATTACAGGTGTGTGCCACTATGCCTAGCCCTTCTGCATTGTTTTGTTGAGCTGTTGGGTCTTGTGAAACTACTACTCAGCTACCACCTGCCTGAGCTCACCTAGGCCTTGCCCTATAAATGAAGCTCAGAACATCCCTGCCTCTACACCACACCCCACCCTACAGGTCAGCCTGGGACAGTGCCTGATGCTTCTGTGGTCACCAAGGTCACTTCACCTCACTGCACCCACTTGCCCTGAGCCCTGCTTCCAAATGTTCCAAAACTTCCAAATATTCTGCCTGTCTGTGTACACAGTTGAGCTGGCTCCTCTTTTCCAATTTTCAGTTCAGTTAATTTTTTAAAAATTTCAAACAGATCCAGGAAGAAGAAGAAGGAGTAAAAAGGAAGAGGGAGAAAAAGAAAAGAAAGTAGAAGGAAAAGAAAATGAATGTGACTATTAAGCAGATTATCTAAGGACTTCAATCCCCTTTCTACTGTGCCTAGCATAGTGTCTCATGTAATACTGGGGCTCAGGGAATAGGGAATGAATGAATTAATTAATTCCATGTGTTTTAAATTTGAAAATGCATTTCTAACTTTTCTTTTTTAGCTTTCTAAGAAGTGCTCAAGTTATGTCCATCTGATAGTCTACAAATTTACCAAACAATAATTGGAAATATCTACAAATGGAAATGTCCAAAGTCCATAAAAAGGGATAAGTCTAATCCTAAAATTACATTGGCTACTCAGTTCTTACACTGGTTACCTGATGACAGACTGTTCCTTATAAATATCACTCTGAGCTACCATGATAAAACACTAAAAGCCACAAGCCTGCCTCAAGTTTCAGCAGTTCATGATTGAAAGTAGTAGTGGTTTTCTGTTGAGATGGTGGTGAAATTAATTGGTACCTGTCCTCCATTGGTCGTTGAGATGATTCTAGTTGTGCCCCCACACTGTTTCACATACCACAGGAACCAGAGAGCAGAGACCTCATGAGTCTCTGCAGTAACACAAAGGTTCACAAAGAGAGTGGCAAGATTCTTTGCAGATCTGCTCAGGAAAAAGCAACAGCAAAATTGGCAAATGTAGGAGAGTATAACTTAATTATCTAGAAATTATTCAAATAATGCATTTTCTTGGCTAAATTTAGCACAACTTGACAATTTGCAGGAAAATGTCAATAGAACCCAATATTATAAAACAAGACATCAGATATTTAGGGATTTCTCTTCCTCTGAAACAAAATACCTTACTCAGAATCAGCTTGTGTTCCGTATTCTATGCTGTCACAATTTGTTCCCACATACCCACTGTTTTTCAGTGATTCCTCATCTCAGTGGAACACATCACCATTCACTCAGTAGCTAAAACCAACATCTTAGAAATCAAGCTTAATTTTTCTCTCTGTCCATTACTTTGTCTCAACTCAATCCATCAGGAAGTCCAGTCATCTCTCAACACACCACTCTACCTTCACCACCACCAAATGAGTGTCATCTCTTACCAGAAGTATTGCAATTACCTCCTCCAAACTAGCCTCTCTGCCTTCTCTTGTCCTCACCTCATATATATTGATCACACTAGAAGACAGATGTTCTTTACCTCCCTCCCCATTATAGGGTTATTTCTCAAATATAAAATAAGTCATGTCATTCTATTATTAAATCCCTCTACTAGCATCCAATCAAAACCAGAATAAGATAGCCCCAAGTAACATAGCCCATGCCTACCTCTTCTATCTCATCCTCAACTCCCCTCAACACACATTCTAATGTTTTCCCAAGAAAGATGTGTTCTTATTTATCTGTGAAAATGAGCACTGGCTTCCATATTCCCAGAATCTTGGCATTTTATGTTGTTTTGACATTGTATAGTATCTTTAGAACTCTTCTCAATGTCTGAAATTATCTTCATTATTGATTTATTATATTTATTGCTGTTTCCCCCACTATAATATCAACCTATGAGAGCTGGGGCCTGAATGAATGAATAAATGAGAAGAACCATTAGTTAAATACAGTTTTTGAAACATCCTTAATGTACAAAGGATATGCTAGGTGCTGTGTTGAATGCAAAATTAGTCACAGTTATCTATTCAATTTATTTTACTCTCTAACAGAAGACAAGCTCAAAGGCTCGACCAGTGGGAAAGCAATTAACAAAGCATATAGGGTGAACCTTTGCTTGGTTTCTTGGCATGTAAATAGCTAGAGGATATATATTGTCAATAAGCACATCAGAAAGTAAACAATCTCATGTAATTCCAAAGTCTCAGTTATATCTAGCATGCCCTAAAATTCAGTAGTAATGTGTACTCTGGGATAGCTTTAATAAGGACCAATATCGTTTTTGCCTTTGTTGTAAAGTTTGCATATTGTTAGTTTAGTTACACTTGAGGCAGAATTTTCTACCTGATAATGCTGACAAAAGGTGAAATAAATTATACCATTTTTTATTTGTTTAAGTTTTTCCACACTCAGTAGTCTTTAAACTTTTTTTTGGTATGGGGGATTAAACACAGGGGTGCTTAACCACTGAGCCATATCCCCAGCCCTTTTTTATATTTTATTTAGAGACAGAGTCTCACTGAGTTGCTTAGGCCTCGCTAGATTGCTGAGGCTGGCTTTGAACTCAAGATCTTCCTGTCTCAGCCTCCTGAGCTGCTGGGATTACAGGTGTCCACTACCACGCCCAGCTTCTTTAAACTTTTTATTTTGTTCAATTGTTGTCATGACCCTATAAAATAACTGTTAGCTTTCCCCAGTTTACAAGCCAGAAAACTGAGTCTCAGAGAGTTTAATAATATATAACTACATGACCCACTATTAAGCTTACTCAAAACTCAGGTTTTTAAAACGTCAAAATCATTTATCATTAGTCAACTCACAACCTTGAAAGAACAGATACTTACCAAAGGGCAGATCGCTACTTTAGTGTATATTAACCCTGGAAATTTATAGGATTGTGACTAATATATCAGTTATTGGCAATGTCTGCAACCTAACAGCACTTTTGTGACAGTTACCATCATTCCATCCCACAAATGTATTATATATACATTGAAGTGACTTAGAATTAGTTTGGTAAGATTCAATATGATCACTGATAGGATGGAAATTGCAAAATCAATTTGCAGCATCTTTCCAAAGCAAATATGCAGACATTAGCTTAAAATAGTACTTCAAAGTGAAAATATCTTTTGTTGTTTTCTATACCCTAATTTTATAGGTAAATTCAAGACATTGACTAAAGGGAGTCATAAATAATAAAATCTTAGCAGGAAACCAGCTAGACAACCAATATTAAACACAAAAATACTATTGAGATTTTAATTGCTGCTGACAAAAGGTGGGAAAGAAATAATCCTGGTTTGAAATGAAGGGAGAGCTAAAAATACAGTGGTCCACTCTTATTCATAGGGGATACACTCTAAGATCCCTAGTGAATGTCTGAACTTTAGATGGTACCAAAACCTGTATTTATTGTTTTTTTTTTCCCTATATATACCATGATAAAGTTCAATTTATAAATTTGGCACAGGAAGAGATGAACACCAATACCTAGTAATAAAATCAAACAATTACAATAATATATTACAATAAAAGTTATGTGACTAAAGTCTCTTTCTAAAAAAAATCCTGAAAAATAATATTTTCAGATGGAGATTGACAATGGATAACTGAGACCACAGAAACCCAAGGTGTAGATAAGGCAGGGACAACTTTAATTCTCTCTGGTGGGCTAGTCCATTTCTAATCCTTTATTTGATTTACTCTGGGACCATCAGAAGAAAGGGCATGAGAAAACTAGTGTAATATTTTTGTTTTTGCTCTGTTGACTTTTTGAGAGATAAATGTTATAACATTTTTCTACATGAAAAATATGTATATTAGATAATTGGAAAACTCATAAGATAAAAATATAAGGGAATGGGTATCTTCCATATTCTACACCCAAAAATATAATTACCAGTCTCATTTTGATACGTTTTGATAGGCATAGGTTTTCTAAAACTGATCACAGCTGTGATCATATTGAAAATATGATTTGTTGTAGTATATATACACAATGGAGTTTTGTTCAGCCATAAAGAAGAATGAACATATGTCATCTGCAGGAAAACAGATGGAACTAGAGACCATTATGTTAAGAGAAATAAGTTAAACTCAGAAGGTCAAAGGTGATATGTTTTCTTTCATATGCGGAAGCTACAGAGGAAAAAGGAAAAGAAAAGTGGGAGTGGATCTCATGAAAATCAAAGGGAGATCAGTAGAGGAAAGGGACCAGATAGATGGGGGAGGAGAAATGCTGGGAAAGATACTGACTAAATTATATTATAATACGGTGTACATGTACAAATATGGAAATACAGATCCCACTATTATGTACAACTATGATTCACTAATACATACATGGAAAAAGGAAAGAAGTATAATTTGTGTTCCTGAAGAGCATTTTATAAATGACAAAAACTGAAAGAATGATCAACATTAGTCTTTGAATGTATGATTTTGCTTTAGTTTGAATCACAATAGGTTGAATATTCTGATTACTTCTTTTTCTCTATGATATGTGGATGGTGACACACAACAGGAGTGGAGGGAAGAATAGAAGTTCATTGGCTTAGACAAAGAGGAATGAAGGGAAGGGAGAGGGGATAGGAATAGGAAAGACAATAGAATTAATCCAACATCAGTTTCCTAGGTACATACATGAATACACCACTGTGAATCTCACCATCATGTACATCCACAAGACTGGGATCCTAATAGAATAAGATATACTCCAAGTCAAAATATACTATATTGTCATGTATAAAAAGAAAAAAAATAATAAAACCAGCAAATGATTCTGTGTGTATCTTACTTAGGAAGAGTTAGAGAGTTGCCTTGTATTCTCAAACTCCTAATATCTCAGAATGCTTTATTTTTAGTCAACAACCTACAGTATTAATTAAGTGGTGGACTAGGCCAAGAATAATGATAGAAAATCTCAAATCTCTATGATTATAAGGAAATATAATTGGCCCAATCTTCAAGGAGTTTATGGGGAGAAAAGATCAAACTGAATTTATGAAAAACTTTTCATAACAGAAGTTATAAACAATGCAGATGGTTATATAATGACTGTATTTTGGAAATCTAAAGTATAGCATTTAAAAATCAATGATACAACCTTATTATGGTTATAATAAGTTATATTTCAAACTGTGTTCTCATAAGAAGAGTTAAATAGCATTAGACATGTGTTTTAAAGTATACAATTAATGATAGGCATTTATTTCATGACAGATGATTTTACTATTCCAGAAATGGTTACTCTCAAAGGCTGAAGACATAGGAGAAGCACAAATATGTTTCTTACAGAGATTAATTATATAATAATAAGAATAAAAAGTAGAAGTAATAAAAATGTCCCACAGAATGATAATGGATTAAATACATTATGATATTTGCCCTCCATGGAATATTCTCCAACTATGAAATGTGATATTTGATTAATAATTTTAATAATGTAATGTCTTTAAACAATCTTGAAATAAATGTCTGTATTATAATATTAAATGTTAAAAACATTTTAATGGATCTCTATTGTTTTGCAGTGCACATATAAGCAGCTTCTTTTTTAGAAATGAGATCATATATCCCACTGTACACACTCTATGACAATCTACTTTTCTGTGTGTTTAATATTATGAGTTTTCAAACCATGAAGTATTACTCTACAACATAATTTTAAAAGACTCTATAGTATTCAATGTTTGGAATGTGCCATAATTAATTCAGTCAATCTTTTATTTTATTGGCTTTTAGGTTTTCCCTTTTAAAAATGATGCTTTTAAATTGGCTTTCTTCCTCTCCCTCCCTGTATGCTTAATTTCCTTTGTTCTTTTCATGCTTCTTCTTTAAGAATTATATTGAAAAATATGCAAACTGCATGTCTTTTGAGTATTTCTATACCTCAGATTCAGATATTTATTAAAACCATATTTTTATGTTTGATTGTCAGTACTCTGTTTCCCTCCCCAATGCCTAGAGAATTTTAACCCCAAAGCCAAATACAATTCTAACTTCTGTTGTTCAACATAAGAGGACCGTCTCTTTGAACTTGGCTTCCGTTTCTCTCACTTTGTTGACCACAAACTCCCCATGTGCTTGAATTACAGCCCCCACAATTCTTTCCACTGTCTCTGTTGTCTAGAAGTGGTGAGGCCTCTTTATGCCATTTGTCTAAATACTCCTCACAGTTTTTATACAGTTTCCAGCACCAACAATAAGATGCTAATATTTGATTCATAAATACTTCCTCTCAATACTACATGTTTTTCGATAAAGGATAATGGTAGTTCCAATCACATGTTTCCCCTACAGTTATGAACTGCCTAGAAAGTCCTACTCAAACTTCAAGGAGTTGCCCTACATCACAAAAGGTGTTTCAAATGCATAAGCTAATCATCTGTGCACCTGACCTTCAGAATACAAAAATATTCCTACATCAACAATTTGAAAATGAGATCTTTAAGAAAATGAGATCATTAAGCTGTTCTAAGGAAAGTAGGCAGCACATTCTGGTCTGTTCTGAGTACTCTATGGGTTAGTACCACCTTCATGATGCAAAACTGTTCTAAAGAAGGAAATTGGATGTATAGCTATTTTTCTTTAAATTTTCTTCAGTACTGGAAATTGAATCCAATGTCTCTTTACCACTGAGCTACATCCCAGTCCTTTTTTACTTACTCAGTCCAGCAGATCTTGTTTAGCAACTCCTTCATTGTCATGTGGTCCCACTCTTCTGCAAGGGGTGCCTTCCATGGGGCATCACTGGGAATCTATATTCAGATTAGGATTTGAAGGAGAAAGACAACAGTAATTTTCCACTCTAAATAACTATTTAAACAGTATTAAAAAACTCAAAGGAAAAAATGCAAGTTTTCTAAATTCTTCCAATAGTTTCTTGCACTGCATAAACAACATTGTTTTTGTAGCTTTCCTGCTAAAGTATCTATACTATTCAACCTGTACATAACAATAACGCTTCCTGCACAAAAAAAATAGAAGTATGCTGTATTCAGGCTATTTCCAAGAACAGATCACAGTACTTCCCCCTTAATCCATGGGGGATATGTTCCAAGTCCCCAAGTAGATGCCTAAAACCACAGATGGTAGCAAACTCTGTATATGCCTTGTTTTTCCTATACATACACATCTATAATTAAAGTTTGATTTATAAATTAGGCTCAGTAAGAGATTAACAATGTTAATAAAATAGAATAATTTTTAACAATGTACTTTAATAAAAGTTAGGTGAATAGGGTCTGTTTATTTCTGGAATTTTCCATGTAATATTTTCAGACATATTTTACCATGGGTAACTAAATATGCAGAAAGTAAATCCATGGATAAGGGGAACATACTGTACTAACTTACTAATTTACAGAGAACATTTTTAAATTTAACTCTTTAACTAGAACCAGACAGCTTCACTAAATCAGCAAATCAGAGTCTTCAGTTAGGCTTTACATGTGTTTACTTATGGGCTTCAGGTTTGGGCAGAGTGTAGAATAAAAGATCCAGAAGTCTTTGTAGTGTCCTGAGGATTTTCTAAATTAGAAACATCTTCTCAGGAAGGTTGAGCCATACATAATATTCTATAGCTCATTAGTAGTATACAAATAGCAGTCTTTTGACATCTCATTCTTTTAGAGGTTAAAAACAAATTTATTCATTTTACAGATCTTTACTGATTGTTACTATGTGCTCACAATGTGTAAGGCATGGGAGATGGGTAATAGATAGAAAAATACAAATACCATCAAAGAAGCTTTGGGAAACTTTACCTCTTGCCCCATGTCATCCATTGTCCTCCAAAAGTTGTTATGATCTAAGTAGGTAATTGGATTCCACACTGGTGGGAATGGGCCTCTGAAGGGGTATGATTTGCCCTGTGAGACACAAAATACTTTTTGAAAGAAACATTAGCTATAATGTAAGTGTAGTTAAATCTTCCAAATTGGTAAATGTCAGCCAACAAAATCATGTTAGTGATCAATATGTAACATACCCTCAATTCTTGGCTCCTTGTGTCCTTAGAATCCTAATTTAACTTTTTTTTTGAGGGGGGGGGGCTACTAGGGATTGAACTCAGGGGCACTCAACCACTAAGCCACATTCTCAGCCCTATTTTGTATTTTATTTAGTGGCAGGATCTCACTGAATTGCTTAGGACCTTGCTTTTGCTGAGGCTGGCTTTGAACTCTCAACCCTCCTGCCTCAGCCTCCCACATCACTGGGATTACAGGTGTGCACCATCGTGCCTGGCCTATTTAACGTTTTAGCAGAGATTTCCAGTAAAATCTTCTGTTCACCACATAAATTTGGTGTCAAACCAAGCACAATAGAGAGGTTTCTCTCTGAAAGTGGCATCCTTACCATGTAAAATTTAAATGCCAGTACATACAGAAGAAGGTTGCCAAAAGTCATCTTATTTGCCAATAATGCCTGTAGATATCAGAATCAGGAACCCCTGTGAGCCCCTGTGTTCACAGAGAATCAGAAAGTTACAAGTACAAACATTATACAATTTAGAAGTGGATAAAAAACCAATTGCAGAAATGCAACAATCTGTAAGAATAATCACAAAATTGGGCCCAGCAAGCTCTTTCAAGATCAATGCAGAAGTTGCCAGAGACTGGTAAAATCAAAGCAGAAAGATGAGACGACTTCAGGCTTATCCTCAGGACATTTTTATACCACCTGGTTCTCTCTACAGGGAAGCCTTGACACAGAGATAAAGGGAACACATCTCTGCAAAGGATTAAAGATAAGTCAGTGCACAAATCATGTCTTAGAGTTTTAACTTGTTCATGACAGTTTAGGGACATAAACAAAAAATACTTTGGGTCAATTTTAAAACTTTTGAGTTGGAAGTCAGCTGTGCATTCTGACAGCATCTTTCAACCAAATTGGAATAACTCAAGGTTCTCAGTCAACCCAAATCTCACAACACCTGAGTCATTCCGTAAAGATTCATCTTGTATTGATTTTGTAAGCAGAGAAACTAGAGCTGTGAAACAAGAGGAGATTTCATGCTCATTATTTTATTAACTCTGTGGCTATGTGGCTGTGTAGCTGTGTTGATCTTCTCTCACCAACAAAGCCCATAAGATTCATAGGAAAGAGTTCTTCTCAGTCAGGGTTCTCTAGATAAACAATTGAGGAAGAGCTGCAGTTCAAATTTGAAAGCGGTCAGTTAGCAGAATTCTCTCTTCTCCAAAGGAAGTCAAATCTGTGTGTGTGTGTGTGTGTGTGTGTATGTGTGTGTGTGCGCACACATGTGCATGTGTTCATGCACTGTGTACTTAACACAGGGCTTTGCCCATGATAGGAAAATGCCCTACCACTGACCTACACCCCAGACATAAATCTTTTTCTCTTAAGGCCTCTATTGAATGAAGTTCAAGTGCATTATGGAGGGTAATCTGCATTATTCCAAGTCTACTGATTTAAATGTTAATCTCATCTTACAAAAAAAAAAACCTTCATAGAAACATCTAGAATGATATTTGACCAAATACCTGGGTAGTGGGATCTAGCTAAGTTAAGACATAAAATTAACCACCACATTTCTTATTTATGGAGCTGAAATGTACATATGATATTTTCAATTTCCATTCTATTTTAGTTATTTTATTCAATGGTTAAAGATCATTGAAACAATCTAAATTGACAAAAAATTGCTTGAATATAACATGTATATGTTGTTTTGAAATAATATTTGTATACATCGTGGAATGGCTAAACTGGGCTAATTAATGTACATTACCTCACATATTTGTTTTGTGGTGAGAAAACTTAAAAGCTACTCCCAGTCATTTTCAAGAATATAATACATTATTACTAACTATAGCCACTATGTTATACAATGGATCTCTTGGACTTATTCTTCCTAATTGAAATTTTGTATAATTTGACCAACATCTTTCCAACAACATATCTATTATAAATGAAAAAATTTGACACATGTATACACTGTGTAACTACCACCATGTTATAGTTTGGATATGAGGTGTCCCTCAAAAGCTCATGTGTGAGACAATGCAAGAAGGCTTGGAGGTGAAATGTTCAGGTTATGAGAGCCTTAACCCAATCACTGAATGAATCTTTCACTAGAGATTAACTGGGTAGTAACTGAAGGCAGGTAGGTTGTGGCTGGAGGAAATGCATCCCTGGGGTGTGCTTTTGGAGTATATATTTTGTATTTGGCAAGAGTCTCACTCTTTCTCTGTATGCTTCCTCATCACGTCCTGAGCTTTTTCCCTCTTCTACACTCTTCCACCATGATGTTCAGCCTCACCTTGAGCCCTGAGGTATGGAGCCAGCCTTCTATGGACTGAGACCTCTGAAACTGGGAGGCCCCAAATAAACTTTTCCTCTGTCCTCTGCTAAAATTGTTCTTGTCAGGTCTTTTAGTCACAGCACAAAAAAAAGAAAAAAAAAACTGACTAAAACACACCCAATGAAGATGTAAAACATTCTCATAATTCCAGAATGTTCTCTCTTGCCCCTTCCCAGACAATCCCTGTCCCCTTACTGAACTACTGTTCAGTTTTCTATCATTATAGATTAGTTCTGCATATTCTAAAATTTTTTAAAAGACGCATGCTTTATGTACAATTAAATATCTGGATTTCATTTTACTCAGCATATCTTTAAAATCTGTCTACATTGCAATTTATTGCTAACTGATAGTCCATCTTGGATGAACTATGGTTTGTTTATAAATTCATTTGTTGATCATTATTTCCAGTTTTGGCTTATTATGAATAATACTGCTATGAACATTCTGGTAAAGATCTTTTTGTATACATAAACATCTTGTACTTTCTCTTAGGTCCATGTCTAGTAGTAGAATTGTTGAGTGGTATACCTTTAATAGCTTCCCAAAGTTTACCATTTTACTTCCCCACCAACAATGTATGAGAATTCTTCACTTGTTGACACTTGATGACTTTTCTTTTATACTTCTTATTTATTTGTTTTGTATTTATTTTGTTGCTTGAATTATTCTACCTATGACCAATTGGGGGACCTTTCATGTTGGCTCCTATGTTCCCTTTGACAAGCCCTTATCTTTTTGTTTCTTGAGTGTTTCTTTCCATTCTGGTACTGGAAGATTCTCCAGGTCATCTTCTATTTTCTCTACCCAAGTTCTAGATTGTGTCATTTGACCAAGAAACCTTCATTCCTTTTATTAAGAGAGCATTTAGAAACAACTTCTGGCTGCTATGCATTGCTGATTCTTTTTTCATTTTTATTTTTTGCAGTGCTGAGGACAGAATCCAGACCTTCCTGTGTGCCAAAGAAGTGCTCTATCATTGAACTATATCCCCCAGCCCTGATTTTGTTTTTAAAACACATTCACTGAGATACATCACAATTCTAATATTGCACAATTTGCATGCTGGCTTTTTTTTTTTTTTTGCAGGGGGTTGCCAGGGATTGAACCCACGGGAGCTTAAACACTGAGTCAAATACCCAGCCCTTTTTATGTTTTATTTAGAGACAGGCTCACTAAGTTGCTTAGTGCCTCCCTAAGTTGTGGAGACTGGCTTTGAACTTGTGATCCTCCTGCCTCAGCCTCCCAACCTGCTGGGATTATAGGAATGCGCCACTGTACCTGGCTGCACACTGGCTTTTTTTTTTTTTTTTTTTAGAGAGAGAGAGAGAATTTTAATATTTATTTTTTAGTTTTCGGCAGGCACAACATCTTTGTTTGTATGTAGTGCTGAGGATTGAACCCGGGCTGCACGCATGCCAGGTGAGCGCACTACCACTTGAGCCACATCCCCAGCCCTGCACACTGGCTTTTAAAATCTCTTTTTGGGGCTGAGATTGTAGTTCAGTGGAAGAGTGCTTGACTAGCACATGTGAGGCACTGGGTTCAATCCTCAACCATATATAAAAATAAATGAATGAAAAAAAATTTTAAAATCCTGATATATCAGGATTGAAGGTCTAACTCAGTGGCATAGCACTTTTCTAGCAGGCACAAGGTCCTGGGTTTTCCTGAGCACTGCAAAAATTTTTTTTTTTTAAATAAAACCTCTTCTTATGCTTCCTCCATCAGAGCTCAGCACACAGAAATTACTCGGTAGATATCTGTGGGTTGATCTATGGGATTATTCTCCCCAAAGCAGATGTGAATTCCCATTCTAGCTCTGTCTTTCTTAAATTGACTGACAAAAAAGCAAGTCAGTTGCTTAATATCCCAGGGCCCCAGATATCACTCTTTCCAATGTAACCTCCATAGACCCTATCATCTTCCTCCAGGAAGTATTCCAAAGTTACCATAAATAGCTGGACTAGGCAGTGTGTTAGTTTGTTTTGTGTTGCTGTAACAAAATACCTGAGGCTGGGTAATTTGTAAAGAGTAGCCATTTATTTGGCTCATGGTTTTGGAGGCTGGGAAATCCAAGAGCATAGTGCTGGTGTTTGCTTGGCATTTGTGATGGCCTTTGTATTGCATCGTAAAGTAGTGGAGGGCATCACATGGCAAGACAGAGCAAGTGTGTGTCAGCTCAGGTCTCTCTTCCTCTTCATTAGTCCCAAATCCCTCCCAGAAACCCCACCTCCAAATACCATCCACATATGGAATTTGGAGATCATGTTTCAATGTGAATTTTGGAAGCATTAGTCAAACCATTGCAGTGAGCATCTCTGTTTGTTTCACCTGCCTCTAACCCCACTGTCCTTGCCTCATGCATTTATCATTCTGTGTTACTTACTGGGCTCTAAGCTGCAAGAGAGCCAACCTCCTTAGAGCAAATCATGGTTCTTCCATTCACTAGCTGTGTTATATTGCTTAACCTCTCTGTGCTTCAGTTCACATGACTGTAAAATGTGATTATAGTAACTACATCAGAGACATACTGGGAAGATGAAA